ATTATTATACTTAATATAATAATATGTAGTATATAATAAAACCTGATAAAAGGCCGTTGTATACTTAATAATGAAAGATTGAAAGCTTTTCTCTTAAGATCAGGAACAAGACAAGGATATCTGCTCTCAGCACTCCCGTTCAACATCATACTGGAGGGCCTAGCCAGCGCAATGAGGAAAAAAAAAAGGGTAGGGGAGGTGGTTACACACAAACTGAAAACAAAAGAAACAAAACTGTTCTATATGCACAAATGATACAACTATCTACATGAGAAAATCCAAAAGAATCTACAAAAAAAAAAAAGTTACTAGAATAGGTGAGTTTAGCAAGGTTGCCAGGTTCAACGTCAGTATACAAAACTATTTCTAAATACTGTCAGTGAACAACTGGACATGGAAATTTAGGAAAATTATATTTATAATACTATCAGAAGTGATGAAATCCTTGGATATAAATCTGACAAAATATGAACAACATCTGTATGTTGAAACTATAAAATGCTAATGATGGAAAATGAAGATCTTTGATTAAAACAAAATAGATGGAGATATCCTTTGTTCATTGACTGAAAGACTCAATATTAAGATGTCACTTCTTCCCAAATGGATCCATGCATTCAATATAATCTAAATTAACAACCCCTCAGTACTCTTTGTAGAAACCAACAAGTCATTTCTAAAAAATTTTATGGAAAAGCAAAAGAACTAGAATAGCCAGAATGATTTTGGAAAAAAATAAAGCTGAAGAACTTACATTACCTGATTTTAAAACTTACTATAAAGCAACAATAATCATGACAATGTGGCATTGGCAAAATGATAGATACAAAGATCAAGGGGATAGTCCAGAAACAGACTCACATACACGGTCAATTGATTTCTGAGTAAGTTAATTCAATGCTGGAAAGGAAAGTGTTCCCCCAAAATGGTGCTAGAATTGGGAAAATAAACTTGACCCTTATCTCACACCATATACAAAAATTAACTCAAAATGGATGATACACCTTGACATAAAAACTGTAACATTTGTAGAAGAAAATGTAAGAGGAAATATGTGTAACTTTGCCCTGAGCAAACAGAACACAGAAACACAAATCATAAAAGGAAAAACTGACAAAGTGAATTTAGTCAAAATTAAAAGCCCCTCTATTTTAAACAGTTAGGAAAATGAAAATGTAAGCTTCAGACTGCACTCTCTGTATATGCATCTGTGTGGGTCAAAGGACTTGTACAGAAAAATGTATAAAGAATTCCTCCAACTCAATAAGACAAACAACTCAACGTTTAAAAATGGGCAAAAGATTTGAACACATACTTCACAAAGGAAGACATACAAATGATCCGTAACACATGAACAAATTCTCAATATCATTAATCATCAGATAAATACAAATTTAAAATACAGTGTCATACTACCACATATCCACTAGAAGGGCTAAAATTAAAAAGACTAAAACAACCAAGTGTTGATGAGAATGTAGATCAACTAGAACTGTAAAATGGGAAACAGTTTGGCAGGTTCTTATAATTAAACATTTGTTTACAATACAACCCAACAAATCCATTTCTAAGTATTTACCCAAAAGAAATGAAAACATATGTTCACACAATAACTCATGAATGAATGTTCATAGCGGCTCTACTAATAACAACCCCAAACTGGAGACAATCCAAATATCCATATATAGGTGAAATGGTCAATAACTGTAGTAAATCAATACCATAAACTACTACTCAGCAATAAAGCTAAACATACAAACATATGCATTATCCTCACAATCATAGTGAAAGAAAAAAACATGGATACAAAAGAATACATATTACATAATTCTGTTTATATAAAATTCTAGAACAAATGAAACCCATTTATAGTGAGAAAGAGAGTAAAACTGTTTCCTAGAGCTGAAGGTGAAAATGTGACTTACTGCAAAAGGGCGGAAGGGAACTTTTGGGGATGACAGAAATATTCTGTATCTTTTATTGGGGTAATGAAAATATTCTACTCTTGATTGTGGTAGTGGAGACATGGGTGTATACATATGTCAAAACACACCGAGCTAGGGCTTCCCTGGTGGCGCAGTGGTTGAGAGTCTGCCTGCCAATGCAGGGGACACGGGGTCGTGCCCCGGTTCGGGAAGATCCCACCTGCCGCAGAGCGGCTGGGCCCGTGAGCCATGGCTGCTAGGCCTGCGCATCCGGAGCCTGTGCTCTGCAACGGGAGAGGCCACAACAGTGAAAGGCCCGCGTACCGCAAAAAAAAAAAAAAAACAAAACCCACACCGAGCTGTACATTTTATTGTACATAAATTATCCTCAATAAAGTTGATTCTTTAAAAAAGAGCTCTCTTGGGAAAATATTACCCAGGGAATACTGGTGATGCCCCTATACGACCACTCAAAAGATATCAAAAACATCAATAAAATTCAATACCCATTTATGGTTTTTAAAAATGTCATCAGAAATGAAAAACAACAATAAGATCATCTTGGAAAGCTAAGAATACAAGAATACAGTTTAACCTATTATACTCTCCATTTATCAGAAAGCTTCAGCAAACATCATAATTGATGGCTAAAACATCAGAAACAATCCCCTTAAAGTCTGAAACAACACCAAGTTGAACTATCACTGCTATTATTTAACATTATATAAAACGTATAATAGCCAAAGCAATGAGGAAAACACACAAATTATAAAATTTAAAAGAAAGCCACAAAACTGTATTTTCAGATAATCAACTCAATACAGTGATTAGGTACATGATAAGCAGAAATAATTCAAAAGCTTTCATGTAACTGGAGGGGGAAAAAAGGAGAAAAAATGTTACTAGAAAGTTTCCACCCACCAGAGCTATCAAATCATAAAATAGCTAGGAATACTAAGAAGGAATGTCATACATATGGGAATAAAACTATACAACTTTCCCTAAGCAAGGTGTGAATTAAATGTAGAGACATACCATACATATACATATTTCTGAGGGGAGAGACTCAGTCTCACGAAGGTCAGTTTGCCCCATATTAATCTAAAATTTCAATATAACCTCATTCAAAATACCTGAGGATTTTTAATTTAATTTACAAGTTGAGTCTAAAGTTCATTTGGAGAAGAAATGCATAAGAGTCAAGAATAATTTCAAAATGAGTAATAAGGAGGGAGAAATGGTTATCAAAATTTTAAATATGCATTCTCTTTTTAACCCAGCAATTCCATTTCTAGGAATCCATGCTCCAGAAATAATCACATAAAGAGGAAGTTTCCTGAACAGCTCTTAGGATGAAGGTAGAACTAGAAGGGGAAGTGGGAGGTATACTTTTTACCTTACAGTCTTCCATACTGTCCGAAGTTTTAAAATTTAAGAAGATTTAAAGTTTGTAATTAAAAACAAATAAATGTAAAAGTTGGCTTCAAATAAAGCATTATTTGTGATAGGAAAAAGAAACTAATTAATTCAAATGTCTTTCAGTAACGGAATGGTTAAGTAAATTACAGCCCATTGAAGCTACTGAAATATCATTTAGCTTTTAAAAAGTATCAGGGAGACAGGTTTAACAAGTAAAGATGGCCAAGATATGTAATTTAGTGAAAAAAGCAAGTGATATACCAATGTGTTTGGTATATCCCACCAAACTCCCCCAACTTTACATGTATGCATATGTGTTTAAAAGTGTACATGAGAAAGAAGTACAATACTGTTAACTCTAGACAGTGGAATGAGACTGGGGGATGAAAGGAAATGTTAACATTTTACTTAAGAGTTCATTTTCTGTATTGCTGAATTTTACATCTAGTTCGTATGTCTGTAATTAATTTTTTTAATTAAAGTTATTTCATATAAAAATGATAAATTCCAGAGGACATGGGAAAAAATAGTTTAAACGTTTATAAAAATCTTTAAAACGTTTATCTTCATGTTTATTTACATACTCTGCAAATGATCTATAGTCTTCACCAGAGATGGCTGCCAATGTAAAGAAATTTAACTTACCAGATATGATAAAAATAACAACATATTAGGCCTTTAAAAAAATCATAAACTTCCCCGAACCAGCAGACTCAAAGCAGTGCCTATGCGTGTGTTAAAAAAGAAAAAGAAGAAAAAAAAATGCCTGGAGAGGTTAAGTCTCCTACATAGATTCTTCCTCTCAGTAAAAAAGACTACCTCCTCCCCTCTTCTTCAACTTGGTCTGAGCGGCTTTAAACTCACCATTTTGAATGTGCGCAAAATGATTAACAAGCAGTAATCTCAGGGAGGCCGAAGTTGAAGGTGCATCCGCCAGAGGCGTGCTCTGACCTGACAGCTCTAACTAGGAGAAGCATTGATGGAATGGTGCTAATATCGGGAGATGAACGATTTTAGGGTCTGTACAGGGTGTCTGCGTGACAGAGCCTCGGTGACAATCGGGAAAAATGCAAATACAGTCAGTAGAGCGACAGCAACGGAAGGTTTTTCGAGGAAGGGGTGCTGATGCAGGCCTGTGGCGTAAGATGGGTCAGCTCTACACAGGGTGACTGGAAATGGGCAGAGAGGGCGGGTGAGAGGTGTTAGTAGGTGACACACTCTTCTAACACAGTCGCGATTGTAGGGATTAAGGCAGCGGGGTCCTTGGCCAAGGCACCAAGGACAGCAGAAGAGGCAGCAAGAAGAAGCGGCCGGTGGAGACCCCGATACCAATCTATGCCATCGCCGGAGGCAGCGGGCGCTGCGGCCGCCAACAAGAGCGTGGCCCCAGGTTCGGGCTGGACAGGGCCCAGAAGGCGAAGAAGGCCTCTCCCAGCCATCAACCCCACCCACCATGGCCGGCGCGGCGGGCCAGGGACAGGCCCCACTCCTTCTCGAGGACAGAAATTAAGAAACGGAGGAGGTGAAGGCAGCAATTTCCTCGCCTTGTCCCTCACCTTCCCAACATGAGAACAAGCCAAATTAAAAAAAAAAAAAAAAAAAAACCCCCACCGAACTGTGCCAAAAAAAAAAAAAAAAAAAAAAAAAAACCCTCACCGAACTGTGCAGCGGCTCCAGAGCGAGAACAGCGCTCGATCCTCCAACAGCCACCACCGCCTTCTTCTCCGCCTCCGACTCCTCCCCCGCCGAACGCGCAGCGGCTGGCGGCGGCGGCGGCTGCGGCGGCAGCGGCGGCAGCGGCGGCGGCGGCGCCGGCGGCGGAAGCAGAAGCGGCCGCGGCGCGTCCCGCCCCTTGCGCCGCGGTAGAGAAGGAGGAGGGAACTCAAGCCCCGCCCCCAAAACAGAGTTGACCAATAGGCTTAAAGGACCTCTGCGGGAAAAATCCACATGCCCAATCGGAACCTGAGGAGTGGGCTCACGTCAATGGTTGGGACGTGGCAGAAAAAGGGAAATATACTTGGACTGTCTTTACACCATTGTCCCCCTTTCTTGCCCAGGGGCAAGTTCACCGATTGGCCGTAGAGCGGAAGGACGAAACCCACCCCTGCCTGGCCCCGCCTCCGTTCCCTGCAGCACTGCGACGTTGGGGGGCGGGGGCGGAGCACCTTGCTAGGGCTGGAACAGCAGGTCTTTTGTGGTTTGGGCTGGGAGAAAAGGGCGGGGTCTTAGGGAAAGGGAAGGGGGTGCGGAGAGCTAAAGGAAGAACTGGCGCAGCTAGACTTTCAGAAATTCCAACAGCAACAACCAAGATGGAGGCGTTAAAATCAATCCTAATTTGACTGGAAACCTAACTAACAAGATTAGGGTCTCCTGGCATAAAGTTCAAACCTTTGCAGTTCAGATATGGGTGGGCCAAGAGAAAATAGCAGACGGAGGAAGGGCAGGTCTTCCTCCCTGCCCACCTTGCCTGCGCACTATATAGTGCCTTCTCCCCTCCCACTCCGCAGTCCCCCAGTCAGTCGCCTGCCCCTTCTTTTCTGATTCTTTTGGGGCTGGGGGCGGGTTATAGGGGATGCCCGCGTTTCCTCTGTATAGCCATGGCCTGACAAGAGCCTTTCAGTTGCACCTTGGGGCTGATGGGTTGTCAAGCCGGGAAGTAACATCACATGCAACCAAAATAAATAACAACAGCTGTAGTCCCCGGACACCTTGCTTAATTTAAACAAGGATAACAGTTTAGGCAGTCATGTCACTGGTGCTAAATTGTTTCTTCCTCCTGCATATGTTCTCTTTTTTCATCCTGAACGTGTCCGCTTCTCTGATTACAGTACCACTCTCCTCCCATCTTACCCCCAGCTCTCTTCACCTCTTCACCCCCTCGGCACATATGCCCAATGCCCAAGATATATTTATCGCATCCCCTCCGCCAAGAGTTAAGAACCCCATTTCTTGTGCTGTCCCTGGCAACTGCGAAATCTCCTGCCAGTGAACCAAGACTCATTTTTTTGCTTTTGATGAAAACAAATTATCCCAGATTTCCTATAAAACTTGGACTATGAGAATTTGCTTGACATTTTGTGAAGCCAAACTAACTCTCAGCCCACTTCAGTAGTACATTTCTTACCCAGAAACCGTTTCCCACTTGATATTTCTCTGCTTTACACATGTTGCTCTAGAAGTTGTGGCTTTTTCTCCATACAAGTCTCTCCTTCTTTGAAAGAGAATTGATACTTTAATCACATTTCCTTGACCTCCTTTTAGGTTGTTGCATATTGATTCAATTGGGTACACTAACCAGTTTGTTGGGGCAGGGTTTCCCCAAATTTCAATCTCTTTCATACCATATCTGTGTACACCACTCGCAGTAGTATTTATTATTTTCTTTAAATAAATGTGTCTTTCCTTCAATTTCTTTAAGAGTAAAACCTTTATAAATTACTATTAATGGAAAACCTGTGTCACCTCTCCTAAGCTGAAAGTAACTGAAAGAAAAGTGAACATAAAACAATGTTTTTAAATTCTGGGGATAGAGAGTCTTTTTTCTACTAAGATCTCTCAGCCTAAAGACTACTCCCTGTAAAAAGGGAGCATTACTAAGCACTAGAAACATTTAAAAAGCAGGTAGGCAAATGGCATTTTTATCATGATGTAATCAAAGGTTAGAAAAATAGTCATTGTTTTTAATCCTGCATGCATGTCCCAACTAAAGTTATCCAAGGCATCAGAAGTGATCTATGTTACTCTTTGAGAAACACTCTTGTGGAGGCTTATAGCATGTATTCCAGAATCAAAAGACTATACACTCATCCTAGCTCCCGCATTTATTGCTGAGTGCCTCTGGACTCTTACATCTCTGGCCTCAATTTCCAGTTTAAATATGTGGAAAGTAATAAAGCCTACTCATGACCTGTTGTACTATAGACTAAATAACCTAATAAATGTGAAACATATCATACCTAGCATGTAGTAAGTACTAAATACATATTTATATTGGCTTATGTATTATATTATTACATATATATAGAGAGAGATGTATTAATGACATATGTATTATTATTGATTTCAGAGGAGGGAAACACTCCCTAAGGCAATGAGTTGAAGGTACCACAGGATGTAATGCAGTAGTTAGTTCTTAAAGAGTGATCCCCATACCAACAGCATCAGCATTACCTGGGAACTTTTTAAAAATGCAAATTCTCAGGTAGGTCCAACCTCAGACCTGAATTGGAAACTCTAGGTGTGGAGCCAAGCGACCTGTATCTTAGCAAGCCTTTGAGGTGATTCTGATGCACGCAAAGTTGGAGAACCACAGATGTTACAGAAGGAGGATTGGTAAAGGAGTGAGAGGACCTGAATTCAAATTATATCCTTAGAGTGACATCAGCAAAAATGCAGATGTAAGCACCCCTGAAAATTCTTTTCTCTGTAAAAGCAATGAGAAAACTGGCAAAATTGTCAGAGTCAACTTTTTCAGAACTATGGAAATCAACCGAGGGCTTGCAGCAACCCAGGAAGCATTTATTCAAGAAAACAGCTGAATCTCAGTAAGAAGAGCAAGGTTTGTAATGTTTTGGCTTGTTCTACTCTAATCCCATCATCTCCAACTCCACTATAGCACTGAAAAACAATAGTTGACAATCATGGTGAAAAGAGCAGCCTGGCAGATATCAGACAAGGCAGAATGAGGCTGGAAGTCCTCCAAAGCCTAATTCCAAGAGAAGAGTCATCATTTAACCTATCTGGTGGTTCCCCAGAAGATCTCACTTGCAAGCCTATCTTGATTTGATTTGATTCAGAGCCAAACCAGTGGTTTTCTGGGGAAGAGGCTTTTCCCCAGAAGTGTTTGTAAAAAACAAAACAAAACAAACAAAAAAACACAAACAAGCAAGCAAGCAAAAAAACACAATGAAAGGGAATTGATTAACTTTGCCACACCTTAGGCAGTGGAAACAGGTTGGGGCAGACAATAGGTTAACCAAAAAGCTTAAAAGGAAAAGCTGGAGATTTGTCTGTAGGAACTTTGTAAGCTCCAACATATTCATGAGAATCCAGAAACTCACACACATGCCCAGGGCTGTGCTAAGCAGTGCGTAAGCTCAGCAAAGACCTGAGAAAGCCCTAAACATTCACCTAAGGCTGACCTTGAGGTTTTGCATAAGCAAGAAGTGAAGGCTAAGGGAGAACTGTCAACTGCCTGGCTTGGTGTTGAAGCCCTGCCCAAAACACACACACACACACATACCCTCAACAAACCCTGGGAGACATACTGATTCAAGGCATCTAAGGAAATCTCTGTCTAATCATTAGATGAGCATGAAGCTAACCAAACAGAATCATCAATGGCCACACACCACTGCTGATGAAAACTTAATCAGTCAATATAAGAAAGAAATGGAAAATTTTATTCAAGACAAATTGAGAATTATAACCCAGGGAACAGCAACTCAGAAAGCTCTGAGAATAATCTGCCCATTAGAATTCAAGGCACAGTTATATAAGCTTTTTGAGACAGGGCTGTGCATTAAATGATGTATTATTGACGGTTTGCATAATCCATATCTAAGCATCATCGTGGTCCCTTACAAGATCAAGAAGCAATGTTATCTTTTAAGGAGTTGTCTTGTTGATGCCAGGAAAATGTTGCTTTTTATGGTTGAGCAGATATTTCTGCTGATGGGGGAGGTTTGGTCAATATATAATGCACAGTAGAGGGGAGAGAGGAAGCCAAAGGGAGAAGAAAAAAAATTTTTTATGGTTAACTGTTTCTTGTCTTGTCATAAAATATGAATTTTATTTCACAATTTCCCCCTTCTGATCATTAACCTTTTGACAGAAAGCAGTAGGTGAGCAAATATTTTCCGAGGTGGTTGCTTGCCTGCACTGCATCATCATGCCCCTTGATGCCAAGTCTTTTTTCTTTTAATATATTTATTTATTAATTTTTGGCTGCATTGGGTCTTGTTGGCTGTGCACGGGCTTTCTCTAGTTGTGGAGAGCAGGGGCTACTCTTGGTTGCAGTGCATGAGCTTCTGATTGCGGTGGCTTCTCTTGCTGTGGAGCATGAGCTCTAGGTGTGCAGCCTGTGGCACACAGGCCCAGTAGTTGTGGCTTGTGGGCTCTAGAGCGCAGGCTCAGTAGCTGTGGTGTACGGGCTTAGTTGCTCTGCGGCATGTGGGATCTTCCCAGACCAGGCCTTGAACCCATATCCCCTGCACTGACAGGTGGATTCTTAACTACTGCGCCATCAGGGAAGTCCTGATGCCAAGTCTTAATAGCCTGGTTCTCTGTTTTTTGGGGGATTATAATAGCAGAATGTTTGGCAAGGACTGACAGTCAATTCTAGGTTGTCCAGTAAGACATAAGCCAATTTTTCTCACATGTGCATTGTATATGTCCATTATTTTATAGAGAACTGTTGGTGTAATCTATAGTTTCAAGTCATTTAGACATCATTATCTTAGTATGAGCAAGTGACACATAGCGTGAAAGGCAAGAAACTCTTACCTTGTAAATTCCACAAACTGTAACTAAAATTGCCAGTAGGATCAACAACATCATTAGCCAAGATTTAAGCCCAGATCCTCCTGAATCAAACCATTTTCCTAATGTTTCCCCTAAACTGGGAATAGGATTGTTCAGAGCAGAAATGTGACACTTCATATGGGTCATAAGACTGGTTACATTTGAAGACTCGTCAGGTATAAAGATGCAGTATTCAGTACA